CATCTGTGCGAGGTCCCGATTCATGTGATCGCTGATTGGCCAATCGGTGATCACATGAATAATAGTAAACAAGATGTCATTTCCTGACATCATGCTTACTACGTGGACAATCTGTGAATGATCACAGAGGTCACATGGTACAAGGCTATTCACAACAGCCTTGTACCATGTGACAAGCTGTGACCAATCACAGCTCACACAGTATTTCTCAATGGCTGCAGGAATGCAGCCAGAGAGAAGGAGAAATTATTGCATTTATCCTTTATGGGTGTAAAAGCAATCAGTGTAAAAAAAAAAAAAAAAAATCTTCATCCCCCCCCCCCCCCCCCACAAGTAGTGTCACCATGGTGACACTGACAGATGATGCTAAAAAAAAAAAAAATAATAATAAAAAAAAAAAAAAAAATGTAAAAAAATATTTTTTATAATTATAATTTTTGGTTATAAACTAATTTGGGTTATTTTTTTTTTTTTTAGATGAATACATTTTGGCCTGAAGAAAATTATTTCTTTGCAAACTTTTATAGAAAAACACTAGTGAAATCTGTGAATGATACAGGTCACATTACAAGGCCAACAGCCTTTATGTGACAAGCTGTGACCAAAAGATTATTTCTTGGCTGCAGGAATGCCAACGAGAAAAATGATTTTATAAGAAAAAAATCTTCATCACCCCCCACAACACAATAATATTTTTTTTTAGAATAAAAATGTTTGGTATATAAAACTTATTCATTTATACATTTTGGCCAATATTTAGAAGAAAGAAAGAATTTCTTTGCAAAAATAAGAAAAATCCCAGTGTATAGCAAAAAAATAAAAATCACATGAAATAATACCAAAAGAGGCGCCGGCGCCAAGGGGTTAAGACTACGCATACAGTAGATATGAACTTAGCGTTTGTCCCAGAAGGACAGTTGAGAGAAACAGGTGAGAAGACCTTGCTGTTGGTCTCCGTGATAAACCAGCACCAGCCTCTTTAATCATAGCCCCTTGCTATCTTACTTCATATACGAATGGCAGATATAAGCTGACAGATTCATGGAACTCCCTGCAGTGCTCTTCAGACTTTGTGCCTGGAGGCCTGGAGGATTTTTTACGTGCACATCCGTCCATCCTAACGTCTGCAGCCAGCTTAACCTTGAATGGAACATTAGGCACCGGCAAGTACTGATCTGTACTTTCAACTTGTTAAATAACTGCTGCAGAACTCACGGGAAACCATGACCTCTGGCAGCAGCACCATGCAGATTCTGAAATACAGAAAGTATACAGTATGCTGAGAACCAACTCACGGAGAAGCATCTCCTGGTGTAAGGCCAGAGATCAACAACCTACGAAGAGGCACCTTGCATGTTAGTGAGTGCAAGACCCTGGAACGGATGATAACACTGATTGGTTCCTAGTAATGCCCACCCTTCTCTTCGAAGGTTGGTCTCCTGTATAAGTGTAAGGTGTATCAGTGGCAGGTTTGCTTTAACCACTTCAAGTTCGGACACTTTCACTCCCTTCCTGTCCAGGCCAATTTTCAGCTTTCAGCGCTATCACACTTTGACAATTGCGCGGTCATGCAACACTGTACCCATATGAATTTTTTTAGCATTTTTTTGAGACAGATAAAACTTTCTTTTGGTGGTATTTATTCACCACTGGTATTTTTATTTGTTTTGCTATATAAATGAAAAAGACCAAACATTTTGAAAAAAAAAAGTGTTTTTTCTTATAAAATTTTGCAAAGAAATAATCTTTCTTCATAAATCTTGGCCAAAATGTATTCATCTATATTTTTTGTAAAAAAAAATAACCCAAATTAGTTTATAACCAAAAATTATAATTTAAAAAAATTGTTTTACATTTTTTATTTTTTTTATATTATTATTTATGTTTTTTTTTTTCAACATAGCATCATCCTAGCAGTACAGTGTCACCATGGTGACACTGTACTACTTGTGGGGGGGGGGTGATGAAGATTTTGTTTTCTTTTTTTTACACTGATTGCTTTTACACCCATAAAGGCTGTAAATGCAATCATTTCTCCTTCTCTCTGGCTGCATTCCTGCAGCCATTGAAAAATACTGTGCGAGCTGTGATTGGTCACAGCTTGTCACATGGTACAAGGCTGTTGTGAATAGCCTTGTACCATGTGACCTGTGATCATTCACAGATTTCACATGTAGTAAGCAATGATGTCAGGAAGTGACATCTTGTTTACTACTGTTCCTGTGATCACTGGTTGGCCAATCAGTGATCACATGAATCGGGACCTCGCACAGAGGTCCCATACAGCGATCAGTGTCCCCTGGACACAGCGGACACCTGTTCGCGGTGCTGCGTGCTCCCAGGGAGCGCGCACAGGCAGTGAATGTGGAGACCGTTTATAAACGGCCACCCGCTCCTGCACTGCTCCCGGCAGGCCCGTGTACATAACCAGCCAGACAGGAGCAGTGCAGGAGCGGGTCGCTATTTATTAATGGTCTCCACATTCACTGCCTGTGCGCGCTCCCTGGGAGTGGTTAAAGTGCTAGCAAAGCCTACCTACTTGTATCTACAGGTAGGCCTAAAACAAGGCTTAATGTAGGTACAGTAAATATCTCCTAACCCATACCTCCCAACTTTTGAACTTCAGAATGATGGACACTTGAGAGAGGAAGTGACCTGCGGCGTGCGTAGCGTGCCGTGGCAAAAATGGGTGTGGCCGAATGCCTAACAGTGGGAAGGGCCTAAGAGGCGTGGTTAAAAAACAAAAACTGCCTTGTACCTGTAAAACAGGCTTTGATTGCTGTCAGGGTTGGACTGACAACTCATGGGGCCCCGGGCAATAGGGGATCATGGGGCCTCTGTGTCCTTGCCCAAACTCAAAAAAAGCCCATGAAAATGGTACCAGGGGCATCTCATGGGGCCCCCTACCGACCCCGGGCCCTCGGGCAGTGCCCAAGTTTCCAAATGGTCAGTCCGCCCCTGATTGCTGTACCACAAGCAAGTGTCTCACGGACACAAACCCCAGCACAATTGTTTAAAAAAAGAATGAAAAGCTTCCATTACAAATGGTTTTCTAGAAATTGTGGAAGAGTGCGTTATGAGTGTGGAAGGATTCAGGAAAGCATTATGCACAGAGTGCAAGATCCAGGAGTGCGTTTCATACGATAATGTTTATTCCGTTCAAATGACATGCTATTCTTTGCAGTGCGATTTGATTACATTTATTTTGTATGGGCTCAAATTATTATTATTATTATACAGGATTTATATAGCGCCAACAGTTTGCTCAGCGCTGTACAATATAAGGGAAGACAGTACAATTACAATACATTTCAGAACAGAAGGAATAGGAGGGCCCAGCTTGTGGAGCTTACAATCTAAAGAAAGGGGGGTGATACAAAAGGTGATAGCTGGGGAGGATGATCTGGTGGAGGTGATTCAAGTACAGTTCTTAGGTGGAGGTGGGGTAGGCTTCCCTGAATAATTGAGTTTTCAAAAATCGCCTAAAGGCAGACAGGGTGGGGGCTGACCGGACATGCTGTGGAAGGGAGTTCCATAGGATGGGAGAGGCTATGGAGAAGTCCTGGAGGCAAGCGTGGGAGGAGGTGATGAGGGAGCTAGAGAGGAGGATATCATGGGAGGATCTCACCGCAAAGGTATCGATAATTGGTGTTGGTGAGTACTTGAGTATAGGTATCGGTACTCATACTCACCAGTAAAAAACAGGTTTTGGCGCATCCCTGAATATTTCACTTTTACACCCTACTGTACGTATTGCAATATATGTCCATTTTATAAGTGGTGCATTTTTTATAGCAAGGAAAAATGTTAATGTTAATGCAAAATAAAAACAAAATGGATCCAAATCAATTCAGATCATTTGTATATGTTGTTACGTTATTTCGGATGAAATGAATGAATACGAATGAATTTGTTGCTTTGTTATAATTTTTTTTTGCATTTTTGAAATGTGTTACTATTGTGATTCAGAGGTTTATATACATCCGAATCTCCAAATGGTGAAAATTTTGTCCGAATTGAAATTTGTAACAAAACGATGTCTAATGATCTATGCTATTTCCAACTTTCTTCTCTGTCCAGCAGTAGAAGTTCTCCTTTGGGCAAAACAACACTGATTCTGGACATTTCCTGTGAGCCCAGCCCGTCATTTACATTCCTGCCATCATTCAGGCTGGGTTCCCAGTACTCCAGGACTAATCGGAAGTCACATGCAATTATGTGAGTGCTGCTCATTCCTGAAGAAATAATTATCTACCGTCGCTGGAAGAAGGAAAAGCTGATGCAGCAACATCTCAGGACCAACAAGCAGACATGATGAAAAAAAAGGAACAGTATGTATAGGGATTTAAAAAATACTGAGGGGGGGAGGGGTTCTGCTTTAAGGATCAAAGTTTAGTAACACTACAGTAGAAAAGATTCCACTTTAGCTTTACTGTGTGGCAGGGGTGGACTGACAACTCATTGGGCCCCCGGGCAATAGGGGATCATGGGGCCCCTGTGTCCTTGCCCAAACTAAAAAAAGCCTATGAAAAAGGTACCAGGGGCATCTCATGGGGCCCCCTACTGACCCCAGGCCCTCGGGCAGAGCCCGAGTTTCCAAATGGTCAGTCCGCCCCTGCTGTGTGGCAAATGAGGTTTAACCTCCCTAGCAGTATGATTATGTCAGTATTTCTGTGCTCAAACCGGTACATTTTTTTTGAATGGAAATGTAGTTTTTTTATTGTAGGCCTGTAATTTTTAGGAATAACTCACTGAAATCTGTCCAAACAAGAGTCTAGTAAACATCCCGGGTATGTTGAAATTTGAAACACGAAATCATAAATTATAATAAATATACATAAATACTAATAATATAACAATAATAAATTTAATTCAATAATATAATCAAACCAAAAACACCGAAATTTGAAATATAGCGCCAAGTTCGCACATCACTGAGCTTAGTCGCAAAATCATTTTCAGTGTCTGATGATGAATTTCCCCACGAATCATTATCACTCAATTCTGCAAGTAGTTCTGATTTACTATCGCTGTTCTCTAGTCAGTCTAAAACTGCTTTTGACCTAAAGGGACGCTTTTTGGACACCATGGACTTTTCTAAGTTTCCAGGCAGAAAAAACAGTAAAAATGCAGGCAGGGCACAGGACAAAGCACACGGGACAAAATGTATGTGAAATGGTTTGATACAGTAATGTTTTACTATCTGATTCTAGTGTATTGAGTGAATGTCACGTTTAAAATGTTTCATTTTCCACCGGTTCTGGCCCCCGTACGTCCCGTACGTCCCGGGAACGGAAGACGGATGCGGTCATTGGCCGGAGGAGATGGCCGGGGACGCTGCAGTGGGGACATTGCGGGAACGAAGAACAAGATAAGTGAAACAGGGATCCCAGAGCAACGTTGCAGGGTAATCCCGAGTGTAGCTCGGGGTTACCACTTTTGGTACTGAAAGATAACCCCGAGCTACACTCGGGAATACCGCCAGGGAGGTTAACCCCTTCACGTCAACGTTGCACAAATATGCGGCCTCACAGAACTGTGCTTTTTTCTGTGGGGCTGCATATTTGCGTACCTGTCTTTGTGCTGGGACCGCACAGCGCGTTCCCTACACAAAGACTGGGTGTTACTGAGAGCCCCGGGTCCTGTTCTAATGATCAGGACCCGGGATTCCCGATTCCGGGTCACATGGTCGCTGTGATAGCCTCTGATCACCTATCACAGTGACCAGTCACTGTACAGCCCACCCCCTTGTTTTTTTTTCTCTATGAATGGAGGAGAGAGATACATTGTATCTCTCTCTCCTTGTATAGAGGGGAAAAAAATATTTTGTTAAAAAAAAGATAAGTAAATAAATATTAAAAAATAAAATATAAAATAAAGATAAAAATACCTAGATCAAGGTTTGATCTAGTTCAGTGCCAGAGTTAGTGTTTGGGTCAAAGGTCAAGGTAAAAAATCAGGATTTTTTTTTGAATTGGGATGTGCAGGTATCAGTGTGTTTTAGGTAAAAACAAAACAAAAATGTGCACTATTGTTTCTGGGCTGTACTGTGTGTACAAACAACAAATAACATACACATATATGGTATCACTGCGATCATCAAGAGCTGGAAAATTTATTTTGGGTTGTTCTTTGGTGATAGGTTATGGTAGTAAGAAGAAACACACAGCTAAATTTAAAAAATATATATATTTTTTTTACTATTTTGCTTTGATAATAAAAAAAATCAGGAGATATCCATTACCATTTACCACCAAATGAAAGCCCAATTTGTCCTGAAATAAACAAGGTATAATCCACCTGGATGTACAAAGTAGTTGTGATGATATATACGTTTTACTAACGTATGTCAAAGTTGCAGGATTATGCTTAGGCGTTAAGATTTGTTTTACCCTTAGGTGTGAAGGGGTTAATGATAAATGTAAGGTTCTGCACTTGGGGGCTAAGAATATGCATGCATCATACATACTAGGGGGGGGGGGGGGGGGTACAACTGGGGGAATCAATGGTGGAGAAGGATCTGGGGGGTTCTGGTAGATCACAAGCTTAATAATGGCATGCAATGCCAAGCTGCGGTTTCTAAAGCGAGCAAAATCCTCTCTTGTATTAACCACTTGCCCTCCTGAGGATTTACCCCCCTTAATGACCAGGCCTCTTTTTGCTACTCGGCGCTGCACTAATTCAACTGATAATTGCGCGGTCATGCAATGCTGCACCCAAACAAAATTTACGTTCTTTTTTTCACACAAATAGAGCTTGACTAATGCACCATAGATAGGCTTGTCCACTCCTACTTCCACCATTGCCTATCCATACCACTCCAAACCCCCCTTAACCAAATAAACTTTACAAAAAAAAACATGACACCATTTGGAGTAAATGGCCAACATGGCCTTTTATTAACAACTTCACATTTTAAACATACATCAACCGTTCCTTAACGGAAACCCAAGAATTGTTGTTGGTCTTCAAAGGCACCCACAAACGATCCAAAATGCACCTGCGGACAACCCTATACACTAGGCCTCCAGCCGCAACCAACCAGCTCGGAGACAACCATACCGTCCGCAGTGCAGCACCACCACCTTCCAGTTAAACCTTGGTTAACTGGGAATATCCACCGGGCCCCCCATACCACGGATGGGGTCCCACACCATTGTTTTCCTTCCAAGATGAGAACCGCCTCCAAAGACCAACAACCGCCCACGAACCAACAGAAAAACCCACCTCACCAACCAGTGTCACTTTTTTTTTTTTTTTTATTCTTGCTCACCTGCCCCCGGATAAGAGATTATATCCAACCTAACAGGGAGGGCGGGAGGGAAGCTCTGGTCCTTGCACACATCCAGCTCCACTGACGCCCCTTCCGCAGCAACCCCCACCCTACTGTGCCACAGACCCCTCCTACACTCCACATCTGCCAATCCCGTAATTCCCAATCAATTCCCCACCCCTTGGAGCTAAATTTTAACCCTTTCCGTTCCCTACACCACTCTGGGCCTAGTCATGTATGCCCTGCGCTATTTCCATTCTTCCCTATTCGCTACGGGCATTTCTTTCTTTCGGTGTAATTTGATCACCTGTGCGCTTTTTTATTTTTCACGCTATAAACAAAAAAAGACCAAAAATTTTGAAGAAAAACTATATTTTTTACTTTCAGCTATAAAAAATATATAGTAAACTCAAAGTTAGTTATAAATTTAGACCAAATGTATTTTGCTACATGTTTTTGGTAAAAAAAATCCCAATAAGTGTATATTGATTGCTTTGTGTGAAAGTTATAGCGTCTACAAACTATGGTATAGATACTGCAATTTATGCCATTTTTTTGCTATACAGCGCTGCGCTAGTTTAATGGACAATTGCGCGGTCATGCAATACGGTACATAAATAAAATTTATGTCCTTTTTTTTCACACAAATAGAGCTTTCTTTCGATAGTATTTGATCGCCTGTGCGTTTTTTATTTTTTGCGCTATAAAAAAAAAAAGGCAGACAATTTGGAGAAAAAAAAACAAGATTTTAGACTTTTTGCTATAAAACATGTCCAGTAAAAAAATGTAAAAATCAAATTTCGTCATACATTTCAGCCAAAATGCATTCTGCGACATGTCTTTGCTAAAAGAAAACAAAATACGTGTAAATTACTTGCTTTGCGAGAACGTTATAGCGTTTGCAAACAACGGGAAAGATACTCAGATTTTTATTACTTTTTTTCTTTATACTAATAATGGTGGTGATCAGTGACTTATGGCGGTGATCAGTGACTTATGGCGACGATCAGCGACTTATGGCAGGACTGCGGGACTGCGGTGGACATTCTGACACTGGGGAGGAACTGACTTGGGGTCACTGACATCCCCAGTGACACCAATACAGTGATCAGTGCAAACAAAAACAGACACTGTACTAATGGCACCTGTTTTAAAACGCGCTTTTGCCCAGCCATGCCGCCCTGCCGACGTATTTCTACAGTGGCTGGGCGGCAAGCGGTTAAAAGAGGTATAGACTTCAGAGAGAGAGAGATCATATTACCCCGGTACAAATCATTAGTAAGACCTCATCTGGAATATGCAGTTCAGTTTTGGGCACCAATTCACAAAAAGAACATTGGGGAACTGGAGAAAGTACAGAGAAGGGCAACCAAACTGATACGAGGCATGGAGGAGCTCAGCTATGAGGACAGATTAGAGGAACTGAATTTATTCTCTCTTGAGAAGAGGAGATTAAGGGGGGATATGATCAACATGTATAAATACATCAGTGGTTCATATAGTGAACTCGGTGTAGAGTTATTCACCCTGAGGTCATCACAGAGGATAAGGGGGCACTCTTTACATCTGGAGGAAAAGAAATGTAATCTCCAAACACAGAAAGGTTTCTTCACAGTGAGAGCTGTGAAAATGTGGAATAGACTCCTTCAAGGGTTGGTTCTGGCCAGCTCAGTGGATTGCTTTAAAAAAGTCCTGGATTCTTTCTTAGATACACAGAATATAACTGGATACTAACATTTATAGGTAAAGTTGATCCAGGGAATATCCGATTGCCCCTCCGGGGATCAAGAAGTAATTTTTTCCCCTGCAGCAGCAAATTGGATCATGCTTTACTGGGTTTTTTGTCTTCCTCTGGATCAACTGTGGGTATGGGATTATAACTTTTTTTTTTATGGTTGAACTGGATGGACTTTTGTCTTTTTTCAGCCAGACTAACCATGTAACCTTACCCAAACAACATAGATCATCATTAATTACAGCAAATTAAAATTTCTCTGGGCTTGGTAATTTATGTCCATATGTTTGGCTGAATGTTTACATAAAATAAATGATCTGAAGCTCTGCTTATGACTAGGTAGTTTTTATCCTAATTCTTAATAAATTACTAGCATCACGCAGGCAGAAAAAGTACTGGAAAATTAGAAAAAAAAAAAAAATGTTTCATTGGCGTATCCAGCCGACTACTGTGTGGTCAATTAGCAATATTATTAAGTGGATTACAGCTTTTCTTGCTAATGTATGTTTACATACTGTAGCTCCCTACGTTGCCTGACTTGTGACACAGCCACAGTATTTATAGAACTTTAAGAACCCAGGGAGAGTTCAGGAACATATACAAGCAGATTACCCCGCATTAACCCACGAGGGGCCTGAGATTAGCACTCTCCTTGGCAATAGGATAATGTTTATGAGTCACAGCTGTTGAGCTGAAAATGAAATTAAATGTTTCTGGGTAAAAATAGTGCAAACAGTCTGTTACCTTACAACCTACATATGGAAAATAATGAAAGCGTCTGGATTTAATGATGTTTTCACCGTCTAATGAGGGAGGCTGAATGTGCAATATAGAATTCTATCCAACCCATCCTCAAGACAGGGTGATAACACATGATAATGAATGACATGTGATTATTAAATGAGCTTGTGCGCTTCAGAAATTGAAGTATGACCATTTACTCGGTGAAATTGATTATCTCTTCTATGACAACCACCGCCGATCCCTCTTGTGATATCGTCATATGGATTTTGGTTGTTTTTTGACTGCTAACAATAAATAATATTGACATGATAGGTAAACTGTTCAGAACAAGAGAAGCAAGGGAATAGGAATAAGGCTTGATAGGCATTGGCTTGTTGTTAGCAGTGGAAACTGAGCCGCTTTCATTAAAAGAAAAAAATGGAAAATGCCCTGGGCCCAGCAGATGTGGCCTACGGTCACTGTACAGGTTCTAAACCTCAGTCTGGAGAACTCAGGCACACTCAAACAGAACAATGTAACAATGTTAGAGCAAAGTTGCCTTAACCACTTGAGCTCCAGAGGATTTACCCCCCTTAATGACCAGGCCTCTTTTTGCTACTC